GGCGCCCAGGGTTCGGCGCGAGCCCGGCAGGGCCGCAGGCTCCGCCCTGCCCCGCCCCGCCCCGCCCGGGCTCGGGGAAAAGGTCGCGGTGGGGACATGTCGCGGTGTTCCCTTCAGCGGGGGCAGCAGAGCGTGAGGGCCGGCGGGGCCGCCAGGTGAGTCCGGGGCCGAGGAGGCCCGGCCAGGCGCGGTAGGAGGCGCCGCGGGCCGGGGATGCGGGGGCGGCGGAGGACGCGCAGCCGGAGGCGGGAGGGGGCCGGGAGGACCAGCCCGGCGGGCGGTGACCTCGGCTCCGGGGAATGCTCGTTTCCTTTGGCAGCGCCGTGCCGGGCGCGGGCAGGAGGAGCGCTGCGGCGGCTGAGGTGCATCCGGCCGTGGACGGGACGATGGGGCGAAGCCCGGACGGGACGATGGGGCGAAGGCCGGGGTCGCCGCCGCCGCCGGTGCTGAGACGCCAGTCTTAGCGGCCTCCCGCGGAGCGGTTTCCGCGTGGCCCCTGGGTCTGCAGCGCTGGGCCTTGTCCGGGGCGTCTTGCCGGGAGGCGGCGCGGGAGGCCCAGCACCTCTCACCTGCGCCGGGCTGGAGGGTTTTGCGCCTGCGCCCCGCCAGGTCTGGGCATCTCAGAGTTACTACCGCAGCCCGAGAAGCCACTTCGACGATCCGCCACGAACCGTTGGTTCTCGAGAGAATTGTTTTCTGTATTTTGAGATTCCAGTGGTCATTTTTTAAATCAGTAATGATAGGGACCTGGAGCCCAGAACCCAGGTATTGTTAACACAGGGAATGCCGGGCGCGGTGGCTCACACCTATAACCCCAGCATTTTGGGAGGCCGAGGTGAGAGGATTGCCGGAGCCCAAGGGTTCGAGACCAGCCTGGGCAACTTGGCGAGACCTCGTCTCTACAATAAATCAAAAAAATTAGCCGGGTGTGGTGGCGCGCCTGTGGTTCCATCGACATGGAAGACTGAGGCAGAAGGATCATCTGAGCCCAGCAGGTCGAAGCTGCGGTGGCCGTGAACATGCCACTGCACTAGAGTGGAATAAATTTTCTGCCTTTGGCACTACGTTTAGATTGGAGATTGGGGTAATGTTTTGTTGCCATCAGGTTTTGACACGTGGTCTTGTGATTCTGGGTTTGTTTTATAACTTACTGTCTGAGTAAAACCGTGCCATTTTCCGAGAGAGAATTGGGAGCTCAGTACAAAATGGTTGAGCATTTTGTTTAAAACTCTCCCTATCCGCCGGGCTGGGTGGCTCAGCCTGTAATCCCGCGCCTTTGCAAGGCTGAGGTGAGTGGATTGAGACCCGCCTGGGCAGCAAGACCTCATCTCTACAATAAATCAAAAAATCAAGCTGGGCTCGAAGGCTCAGCCTGTAATCCCGTGCCTTTGGGAGGTTGAGGTGAGTGGATTGCCTGAGCCCGCAGGTTCGAGACCCACCTGGGCAGCAAGACTTCATCTCTACAATAAATCAAAAATCAGCCGGGCATGGTAGCACGCGCCTGTAATTCCAGCTACTCGGAAGGCTGAGGTGGAAGGATCGCCAGAGCCCAGTGGGTCGAGGCTGCGGTGGCCGGGAGCGGGCACTGCACTCCAGTCTGAGCAACAGAGTGAGACTCCAGCTCAAAAAAATAAAAAAAAAATTGCAGCCAGGCTCGGTGGCTCAGCCTGTAATCCCGCACTTTGGGAGGCTGAGATGAGTGAATTGCCTGATCCTGTGGGTTTGAGTCCTGCCTGGGCAACTTGGCAAGACCTCATCTCCACAATAAATCAAAAATTAGCCGGGCGTAGTAGTGTGCGCCTGTAGTTCCAGTTACTTGGAAGGCTGAGGCGGAAGGATCACCGGAGCC